TCGTAATGGATCCACAGGCTACAAAAGCAAAAAAGATCCGGTAAAGAGAGCGTGCGTATGTACGAGGAACGAACAAGACTCCGCTGTCACACAGATGCTCCGTTCCACTGTCATAGGCAGTGGCATAACAAGTAGCAATCGATATCGAAAAGAATGTGTCAACAAAGACGGGGGAGAGAGAGTTCTGACTTGTCAGTTATCTTGAGTCGGTAGGCAGGTAGGCAATCGAGTCGAGTCAGTAAGCACAACTAGCAAGAGGCGATATTAATCTCGATTGCTGTCTGCAGAGCGCGTGCCCCCAGGCCAGCCAAATTTTGCACTTACCTTGACCTTATAGCCATCGCCTCGGGCTCAAGTGTCAGATCATCCAAGCCAGCGACTTCAATATGACTGACTGACAATCAGAAGTCTGAGGCGGACTAAGATAAAATCAATTGGGGAGAAGGGGACAAATAACAGCAGGTTTTTGTCAACATGATAAGTGTGCAAGGCAAATAATGCACGGAGCCCAAAAGTCTGAGAGGTAACGGCTATGATGGTCAAGTAGGAAAAGAAAATCGCTGTAAATGCACAAAAGAGGGGAACGGACGTACAGGGGACGGTTTTGGGAACCGAGCTGTGCGTCTTTGGAACCTTGGTGGACAGGGAGGCAGACGAGCGGACAGCTTTGAAGCCAACTCCCTCCTGGAAGACTTCCTGTCGATTGCAGATGACACCCAAGCTACCGGTCTCCGACTGCAGGGCCAAACGACGGGGTGTCTCCTCCAGCGGTATACTGCGGACGTGCAACTTCTGGATCTCATCCACGGATCCCAGGATTAAGCCACCGGGAGTCACTAAGCAGATGCTGCAGAAACACAGGTTTTTTTAAAAGTGCAAGGCCTAATCGGAAGAGAATAGGAGGTTGTGTTCGCAAAACAAACAAAAATACCTAATTAAGGTAAATTAGCGAATAAACAAAGACCAAAAATTGACACTAAGGGAGTAAATAGAATTTTTGAAAGGAATGCTTGAGTAACGTCTTTCTTAAGGACGAGAAGAAAAAGAGGAGAAGAGGCAAAAAAGAAGAATGAGAAATACAAGGAGAGAAATAAGTAGAAGTCAACTGCGTTTCTGATACACTGACAGCCTGAGCGTACCATGTAGTCCACTGACGGGATAACTCGCCCCCCTATTTAAGACTCTTCACAAAGCTACAATGGCTCAAACTTAGTGCGGCTCCTATGACAGTCTAAACTGTACATGGTTTTCTCACCACAAGGGTACGACAGAGTCCATCTCCATTGCACTCCTCACACAGAGATCTTTAGCGTCCTGTGTTTGATTTGATTTTTATTCGTTGTACCTTAGTTTACTTTAGTTTTATTTTCGTTATCTTTAGTTCTTAGCGCAGTTCCGCAATGTGTGCAGTTCTCGTTTCCTATTGGTTGTATCTTTAACTTTCAGCATCGCGCTGTTGTTTTTTGTTGCCAAACATTCGGTTATCTAAATATTTGTTCCTTTTTCTTTTAATTGGAAGATGTTCTTTGGGATAAAAGGTAACTTTAACGAGTGAAGTTTCGAGTTTGGCGCCCCAGCTCGTCTTCGGACCAACAAGAAAAGTGCAAGTAACAACTAAAATTTAAAAACTGCCGAAAAAAGGGTGAGATGTGATTGGTAGGTGTGGCCTCAGTTAGTCTCTGTCGTGCGGCCTGTCTTTTCCATCGTTATTTGATGTGCTTATAAACACCACCCAACTAATGAATCGTGGGAGCGCATGGCTTCGAGGAATTCTCGGCCATTTTTGGAGGGGCAAACTCCAAGGATGCGTGTTTTATCCCATGCAAAGGTGCGTCCTGTGTCGAGGCAATGCATAGCCACTTGGGACAAATGGTCACGTCTCCTTACGGGCAATTGGTGCTCGTGGATGCGTGTGGAGACGAATCTTCCTGGTTAGCCACAATATATAGTATCACAAACTCCGCATGGGATTTTGTAGACGGCTTCTTCCTTATTGAGGTAGCTCACCCTATCCTTAGCGTGTACAAGCTGGGTGCGTAAAGTAGCCATCGGTTCGTGCGCCACTTTTATTTGGTGTTTCCGCAAGTGTCTCTCGACGCGTTCAGACACATTCCTTGTATAAGGAATGTGTTCCAGTTTATACGAATGTTCCTTATATTTTCAAATTTTATACGCTCTATGTTTTTATTCATTTTTTTTATTTCCCCTGATATGCCCCAGCCATGTAACCCCTAGTAACACCGGTTCTGATTGCTAGGGTTTTGCCTGGCTATAGTGAACCCTAAACCAAACTGTTACCTATCCGGGATACTCCCATTGCCCTGAAGTTAGATATTAGAAGGCGCGTGGTACCTATAAGCGTGGCTCTAGCCCCGTCGACCAGTGAGTGCGTTGATCTTCAGCCAACACCGAAACGCGGTGAGTGTAGGGGAGGAGAGTGGGCCAAAGGCGGCACAACTCCATCCCATTATATAGAGCAATTCAGGCGCCAGTCGCCATTGCGCAGCTTCCAGGACAGTGATGGTACCCACCACGTGTGAAAGAGAGAGGCTTATAGCTGAGTGAAGAGGAAGCAACATGGAGAAAGTATGCGCACCAGTCTTTGTAGTAGGAGCCGTTTAGAGGACACATCCATCCAACTTCCTTCAAGTTCACATTAGCGAAGACAAGCTTATTCTTCACAGAGTACACGATGCAGGGGTGGTTGGAACAGACGAAGACATTGTTCTTGTTGTGTGAACGCCACTGACTGAGATACATGGATGGCCCTGTGCCCGCATTGACACGTTTGGCGTCGCGTAGAGTTATGTTTTCTGCAAGGTAAGAAAAGAGTGCACACAGAATGTCAGCGGTCAGTCTCCTGGTTTGCGCGATCAGCTAAACTTCCTGAAACCGCAGACAGAACTTACCCGCGTTGTAGGCGATGGTGTAGTAGTAGAGGGCCCCGTCACCCATGGCTGCAAACAGGAAAGCGGTGTCGTTCAACTGAGAAATCAGGATGGAGCGTGGAAGCACCGCGGTGCCAGTGGAGGCTGTGGTTTCGGGCAGGGGTTCCAGGTGGACAACCTCCAAGGACGGCAGCTGCAGCAGTGCCAGGCCATGACCCATCCACAGACCCACAGCGGCGTACTGCGGCTCACCGCAGGATATCGTCCCAAAGTTCTCATCAGCTGACTGCATACTAACTGGCTGAGGGGACTGTAATTGCGGTTGTGGGGAACGGAGTTGGCTGGCAGCCAATAACTTGGTCCTGTCGAAGGGTGACATATCAATGCAGGCCACTTCATGGGGCAGAACCTTGTGTCTGTGCAGAAGAAGAATGAATAGACGCATATGATTCACAGGATTTAAGAGCCATAGTTTGAAAATCCACCTGAATACAGACACCTCGAAGATGCATAAGGTTCTTACTTCGGTGTTCCTTACAATGTTTAATAGACACTGACGCATGCCTTTATAAAATACCCGATTCAACGAGAGCCCGCCTTAAGAAGGATACAACTGAGGAGGTCTCAAGAGCAAAGTTAAGGTTAAATGGAGGACAGGTGGTGGTTTGCGTGGAATTACAGATTTCGTTTGGGTCAGTTTAGATACTGGGGCTGAGAAAATGCTTTTTTTTCTTCGAGAAAATTACAAAGGAGATGTCAATAGCAGGTGAAAAATGCCGCTTAAGGTAAAATGCAACGCTACTATCCATATGCTGGGAAAGTGAGATCTAAGTCCATAGAACGTATGCTCGTACAAACGGCTTATCCATATGATTGGCAAAACAATTTAACATAGCAAGACTCTTTTGAAGATGCACAGAAACCGCCCATGTAAAAGCTTTTCAGCTTTTTTTGAGCCAGTAGAGTTTATGACAAAGTTAGCTGAAACAGTAACTATTTATCAAACGCTAACAGCTGGTGATGACGTGCGGTGATTTTTGAGACGCGGTCTGTGATCCGCAGATATTTATAGAACAGCACGGCATTGAACGTGGTCCTATGCACGCGACGCTGAATTTTTTGCTGAACTTCACGGCAATAAAAAAACAATTCCGGTCTGAAGAATATGCTAGGCACCAGCTGTTCATTCGCGACGCTTCCGTTTGGAAGACGCTGTATTGCCAATACACGCGAAGTAATCGAGAAGACGACTCGATCGCTGGGACAATACTTTTATTCGCCTAACGTTTTGACATCCGTCGCGGATTCATCCTCAGAGACATTGGCAGAAAACGGTAGCACGGACCCGTTTCTGCTACCTTTTTCTGCTAATGTCTCTGATGATGAATCCGCAACGGATGTCGAAACATCAGGCGAATAAAAATAGTGTCCCAGCAATCGAGTCGTCTTCTCAGACGCTGTATTGTTGCTGAATTTTGACAGTAGACATCGATGCGCAACCAATCAGTAATATAGGATCTCCCGGGGCACATCTGAGGGGGGGAGTTGAGCAACACGGAAAAGTGATTTTACCAATGTAATAACTGCCCACCCAGTGAGGTGATAGGAAGGTCTACTGTTATCTCTATGAGTTTAATTTCCGCTGAAATGGCCATCAATGAACGCCGAAGAAGGTTGTGGAACTTATTCACCGGCAGTAGTGGAAGCTTCCTCTAGTTACGAAGTTACGTTCAATTTTGGTCGGCTCTCACTGGTCATGCTGTCTAACGAAATAGCGCACTGCACTTAGGTCCCTGACGATCTGGTGCATGCATTTTGCACCAACTGAATACTGATGGTCGAGACCTTATCTTGGGCCTGTCGCAGTCTGGATGCTGAAGCGGAATACTGACAAGGACGTTCACTACTGGGATGCCTCCAACTCATTCACGCCAGATAATTGGAAATTATGATTGCCTGGCAAAGCAAAGCGGTTAATGAGTTCTGGTGAAGGAGGGTGGCTGTTTCGATACATTGTTTAAATAAAATATTTCCGATAGGATTATCTTCATGAGCGCCTTGGGACGTGTACAGGTTTGCTATCCTGAGCCTGAAACACCAAATTGAACAAGTGTCTATTCGATTGCTGGAACTCAATACCAGCTATAATCATTTAAATAGCTTCAAAAAAAAACCGGCACACAGGTCAGCATTGTCGGCGGCTTCACAGCGTGGTGG